CATCGCAAAGAATTAAAAGAAAATCTTAAATTTTTTATAAATAATGAGAACATAAAATTCTTAGAAGAGGCTAAAAATTTGGGTGTTAAAATCTACGCTTTACCAGTCATGTTAAAAACCTTTTGCAAAAAACATATCTACGCCTTAAATTGCTTTATAGTAACAAACATATTTTAAACTTTAAAATGCGCAAAAAATTGACAGAAAGCCTATTTCTTCCTATACAGGGTGTTTCCTAACTACGGTACGAAATTTCAGAGGATGATTCGTTAGGTCATTTTAAGAAAAGAAGTTCCTATAAACATATGTCCGGAGTCGCTTTGTTTCTGAGATACAGGGTGTTAGAGTTTTTTTTTAAATAGGTTTTTATGAAATATCCGGAAATATCATATAGGTCCGGAAATATCATATAGGTCCTTAAACCGATTTGGTTCAAATTTGGTACAGTTATTTGAATTAATAATACGCTTATTCAGCACTAACTAGATTTTAATTATTAAGTCCAGTGGCTTCTCATGGGGCACCACAGCCAATTATTATTGAGAAAAAATGTACGCCACTGATTATTTTGTGGTTTTTTATTTTTTTCCAGATTAACCAACTAAAAATACAACTTTTATGTCTCTTGTGTTTTTTTCATGTCTAACTTCGTTTTCCAGAAAAAAACTATCACGGAACAACATAAAACAAAAACCAAAAATAAACCTTAAAGTAAATGTTCAAAATGTCCACCTTCTGATAAAATACACGATTGCAATCGATTTGTCATTGACCGTCTGACACGTTCAAAAATACCAGTATTCCTTATGACATTGCAATTGTCAATTATCCGATTCCTTAAGTCCTCAACATCTAGCACAGGAGTTTTATAAAGAAGAGCCTTCAGATGACCCCATAAATAGAAATCTAGAGGATTTATATCAGGACTGCGAGCCGGCCAATTTTGAGGTCCTGCACGTCCAATCCAGCAATTAGGGTACGTGACGTCGAGATGCTGACGTGCAAGAACACTGAAATGAGCTGGAGCTCCGTCGTGCATAATCCACATGTTGATTCTTACATCTAGGGGTACTTCTTCTAACAAAATGGGTAAATGATGTCGCAAAAAGTCCGTGTATGATTCACCTGTTAATCTTGCTGGTAAAAAGAATGGGCCCATTAAGTAGTCGCCAATAATTCCTAACCAAACGTTTAGCGAAAATTGTTGCTGGAAATTACTTTCTCTAATAACGTGGGGATTTTCGTCAGCCCAAAAATGTTCATTGTGAAAGTTTCTAATGGCATCTCGTGAAAAAGTTGCCTCGTCCGTAAATAAGATATTTGGTAAAAAGTTATTATTGTATGCCATCATATTAACTAACCATCTACAAAATATTAACCTTGGGTGAAAATCCCGAGGCAATAAAGCTTGGACCCGCTGAATGTGATATGGATACAGTATGTTTCTTTTTAATATTTTCCAAACGGTTTTTGGGCTAACTTCAAGCTGTAGTGCAATCTGGTACTATTTGAAGGATCTTCTTCTATTGCATTAAGGACAGCTTCTTCTAGTTCAGGCGTTGTTACGGTTTCTGGTCTTCCACCACCCGTATTTTTAGTAAATCTCCCAGTTTCACATAATCTCGCATGTAGCGTTCTAAATGTTTTAGCGCATGGAATTACTCTATTATGATGTATGTCCTGGTAAATTCTCCGTGCTTCTTCAGCATTTCCATTTGCTAAACCATAAATAAAATGCATGTCAGCCATTTCTGCGTTATTAAAATTATTCATGATTGACAATACTATCAATGTAAGTAAGTTGTATTTTTTGTTGCTTAATTTGTGTATTTTTGGTTTTTGTTTTATGTTCAGGGATAGTTTTTAGAATGAGTTAAAGTAGTTTTATTTTTTTTCTGGAAAAGAAAGTTAGACATGAAAAAAACACAAGAGACATAAAAGTTGTATTTTTAGTTGGTTAATCTGGAAAAAAATAAAAAACCACAAAAAAGTCAGTGGCGTACATTTTTTCTCAATAATAATTGGCTGTGGTGCCCCATGAGACGCCACTGGACTTAATAATTAAAATCTAGTTAGTGCTGAATAAGCGTCTTATTAATACAAATAACTGTACCTAGTTTGAACCAAATCGGTTTAAGGACCTATATGATATTTCATAAAAACCTATTTAAAAAAAACTCTGTATCTCAGAAACAAAGCGACTCCGGACATATGTTTATAGGAACTTCTTTTCTTAAAATGACCTAACGAATCATCCCCTAAAATTTCGTACCGTAGTTAGGAAACACCCTGTATTTAACTATTGCAATATTTTGTACTACCCATGTCTAGACCTGCAAACCAAAACTTGTATACAACGGATACAAAACACCTGTGTCAGATTTATCTATAATCTTAGAAAATATGACCATGTAACAGCCAAATTAGCAGCACTAGGATGGTTAAATATAAGTAAAATTGTACAGTTTCATTATCTAACTTTTGTACATAGAATTCTATTAACTTCCACCCCTTCATACTTAAGAGAAAAATTAATTTTTAGACATAACATTCACAATCGCCAAACTCGACATCTAAATCTACTTACATTACCTAAACACTCTATGGCTTTATTTACTCGCTCTTTCTCTTTCAATGCAGTAATGTATTATAACGCAATTGACAATGATTTAAAGTCTATGTCTCTATATAAATTTAGGAAACATGCAAGAGCTTCTTTACTTATTTAATTTTTTTTATTGTTTTTTATTTTTTTTATATAGAATTAGGTGTAATACTTTTTGTTTTTTGCCCATTGTTATTTTTCACGTTGACAACAAGAAATATGTAATTATTTTTTTTATTTTGTTTATATTTTTTTTTGTAAACACTATTTAACATCAATTTATTCATCACACACGGTTAAGTGTAAGAGTAGCCTTAGGCTAAACTTCACCGTATGTGCCGCCTACTTACAATATATATTGTAATACACAGCAAACGGAAAATTATAGAGGTGTATAGGATGACGCCACGTTTGAATATCGTTTTCTAAATCTCCCTACGGTATAGAGTTGTATTCGTCAGTCGAGCGTTTCAATACTCTCCACAGTATAGAGGTCGTAATTTCACTTTTGAACTAGTATTAATATAAAAATTATTTTATGCTTAAAAAAAAACTATATACGACATGATTGGGATTTTTTTCATTTTATTATAATATAATAATTATAATTAATTAATTAATTAAGCTGTGTTGAATATTTTTCCTAAAGGAATAATTGCCAATGGGCCATTAATTCATTTGTTCGTAGATGCTACAATAACCTGCACTGGTGTGTACTTTTTCATCAACCAGATTTAAATATTACAAAACTAACATATACCAGTGGAGATAGTGCAGGGTCTACCAACAGACCTAATTACTAAATTATTAAAGTTTAAGGTAGTTGTCGTGGTACAATATTGTCAAAAATTTTTAGATTATACGCACCGTAAAAGTATACGAGCTTGTAGCTAAGTGATTCATAATTTATTCGCAAGACTGTACCCTGGAGACTTTACCTTTACGTAATACTTTCAAATATTTTCATAAGTTTTAATCCGGCAACGTCGCTTATGCTCAACCAATAGACTGAATTGGAGACTGAATCAGTGTTTGAATTTACTGCGGAAATAATATCTATACTCGCGTACAGCGTTGCCAAGTTGTTTTTATCTGACACTAGTGATGTATACTTTTTACAAATTGTTAAACTTTAAACGGTTATTTATAAACAATTGGACGGTCAACAATTTTTAGATATTTTTTTTTTAAACTCAGCAAAAATACATTAAAAGACTGTTAGTTTTTTGAAATCTTCTGACAGTTAGTTTTTTTTTTATAACTAAGAAACTGGTACAGAACTACATAAAGCGTATACAATCCATGTTAATTATCCAATTTTTAATTGAATTTATCTCGGGTTATAGACGGTCAATCGATTTCAAATTTTAAGGATAATTGTATTGTCATGTCCTTAATATGTATACAAAAATTTAAAATTTTCTGATGGTATGCCTAGAGCACGACAACTACCTTAATAGCATATAAATCATTTTTTCAACATAACCTCTGAAATTTTTAATACAAATATAGGTAATTTATATAATACATAAATATACTTAACATCATATCCTCTGTGCTTTACATACCTAAGTTGTTACGGTAAATAAAAATCAGACAAAGGAACCAAAGAAAGGAACTATTTTCAACAAAATCATATGCAGAAATGAGAAAATTCAAACTACTTGCATCCATCAAAAGATCAAAACTTCTTGCAATATTACACCCTCTTTTTATACTCTCAGAAATATTGACTAGAACAGTATTAGAGAGACTCCAGTTTCTATAACTTGGTAGAGTAAAGAGAAGTCGAAACCGTTGCGATATTGCATTGCGCTGTTTTTGTATAATTCTCGGGGACATTAACGAAAATCATTGCCAGTAAAATTCGAAAAGCTTGAGTTTCTATGTCTCTGAGGAGAATAGGAATCCGAAGTTGCTGCACCATTGGACTGAACCCTTTTTTAATAATTTCTAGAGACATAAATGACTGCACCATTCGACAGGGTCGAGTTTCTACTCCTCTGTTGAATATAGAAAATCAAAATAATGTATCTTGTAAGACACCATTGAGTTTGACTTTAAATATAGTCGTGCATAGGTATAGAGCCGAAAAATATAAAAACAAAGCACGATTCAATACAGTTATGATAAAACTTTAAGATTTGATATTCAAACGCGGAGTCATCCTATACACTTCTATAATTTTTCGTTTGCTGTGTATTATTGTAATAATTTTACTTTAAGTAAAGACGATTATTATTATTATTATTATTATTATTATTATTATGTACCGCAAGAAATATACGTAAGAGTGTAAAAACGCATTATGAACATTAAAGAACCGAAACAATTAAGGCGCAAGGAATTAAAAGCATTTTTTTTAATGTGTCCAAATTATAACTATATTACTTACCACCATGTTTTTAAACTTAGTATCATGACTGGTAACATCTGCAAATTCCAGAGTGCAAAGGTGTGGTGAAACATAAATCGACGTTACTTTTTCCACAACCTGAGATACCCTGGTTTCAATTCCTGTCCACCATTGCCTAACTAAAGCTGGTAACTGCGCCAACGCGGAGGCATAAAGCCGGCACACGAATTTCTCGATTTTTTCACTATTGCATTCATCTAAAAAAAGAAGAGTTAAAATTGTAAATAAGGGTCTTAAAACCGTTAAAAAACCTGTGATGTCTAAGGATGTTTTTTCCAAAAACAAGTCCGATATTGTTTTTGATTTTCCCTCACTGAAATGAAGAACTTCCGTGGGCATTAGTCTAAACAGGTTGTTTAGGAAGTTTTTTAATAGGTCTTCATTTCTAAAATCAGAAATTTTATTGTAATATTCTTGTAATAAAATTTATATATTAAAATTACTAAGAATCGCTGATATATTTGAATAAAATACTTGTTATTAAAAAGATAAAAATATCTGCCCTGTTGTAGACAATAATTTAGAATTAAAAAAATCATAAAATTAAATTTCACTATTTAAAATACAACAAATCGAAGAAAAAAAGGGTTTAAAAAACAACAAAAGTCGATCTTAAAAAATGTATGTATGCAAATAATATTTATGTATGTAGGAAAAGCGATAAAATGATTGAAAAAAGATATTAAATATAATTAACAATGGTTTGACTAAAAAACATCATTTTGATGATTTTGTTAAATTTGTTACGTTTGGACATTTTAAAAATTTTGGTAATTTTAAGAATTGCAATTTATTAAATTTAGATTTGAAAATTCTAAAAAATCGTCCATCCAAGAACTTGTGAAACGTATCACCAAAAATTGGTGGTTCATATTTTGCAAAATAAATTGGTTTATTTGGTTTAGTTTAGATAAAAAATACGATTTCCTAAATTTTTTTCACTTATTGTCCTAACGTATACGACATAAACAGTTTTTAGTCGTTTTTTTCATATAAGTATTCAAAATCTATGAGATGAAATTGAATATAATTTTGTAAATGCATTTTCTGTTGCTTCCCCTAGAATAGTTATAATAATCTCTCTCCCCAAACAAAAAAAAAAAATAAAAACATACACCCTTTAGGATAATCTCTACTTCACCACACTTTACTAGGTGTTAATTTACCTTAACCAATCCGCGTACTGATATCTTAACTCTGTGGGTGACTGCTCACATAGCGTTAAAAGAACGTCCCACAACAATAAGTAAGCAAAAGTATATGTAAAAGAATCTGTTGACGTCTTAACTGTACAGCTGTCTTCACCTAATCTGTAAAAAGAATACAATTAAATAATTTAATACAAATGTGACTACATGGAAAGTATCTCTTACTTAAAGCCCATCAGCATATTATTAACAATCATATGAGTTTCCACCAATTTCTCCTTGAACTGCTCGAAAATCAGCCCCTTCTTGTGCGGCGTGTTCGTGTTAACAGCCTCGAAATCAATTTGAATTAAACCAGGCACAAGTTTCAGCAACATTTTGTATCCCCATATTTGCAAAGTCGGTACTCTACTGACTAGCAGGGCACAACTTTTCTTGAGAAATTTCGTCCATTTCGGCAACGAACTAACGCTGAATTTAAAGAGAAATTCGTGTTTTATGTAATTCACCACTTTGCCGTAATCTTGGATAAGAGGCATGTATTTTAGTTGTTGGGTGTATTCAAGGCTTTCAAATTGTTCTAAAAATGTTTATTATCCAGTTATTGCTTATTTTATTACAGTAGTTTAAATGTTTTTTCATTATACTCTCTTTTCAAAAGACTATCTACTCCTATTGCATAATATTAAGTTTTTCCCTATACTGGGTGTTTGAAAAAACATGAGGCAATGGAAAAAGTTCATATAAACGTCGGTCCGGAAATGGTTATTTTTAAGATAGTGGGTAACAATAAAAAAAACGGCTTTTTAAAAATATCTTAACCCGTAACCGGTACGGTACGAGTTTCAGGTCATAAACGGTACTAAGGGGTCTGAGAGACCTTTTAAAATTATAATTTATATTATTTTTTTTATCTGAGGCTTTGGGATACTAGGTACTATATATAAAGTTGGAATATCACCAAAAATAATACCTAAATAAAAGAAAAATTTAAATAAATAGGTTTTAATCAAAACATGTACAAAAAGTGCAGTAGTGCAAACTTTGTGATTAAACTATTAAAAATATTAAACCAAACAAAATAAAACGATCTTTATTTTGAAGAATATACCTTAAAAAATAACATAAACAAAAAAAATTCAAATATATCTTTTTTTAACAGCAAAAATAACTGCTTCAAAGTATAGCTGATTTTTACAATTATTTTTTCCAGAGTAACTTTTTTGTTGTTTTTCAAATTCTTAAAAAATTTCAAATTCTTCACTATCTGACCCTATAAAATTATTTTCTTTAGAATCTTCACAGAGAAGTCCTGAATTGCTGCTGTGATTATCTTCAACTACATAATCACTATAATGGTTATGTAGTATACTACAGTCATATATACCTATCACTTATATCGCTGTAGAGTTTCCTTGAAGCCCATCTTATCACTTTGAACACGTTTAGAAGCCCCTTTTTGCGAATCCATAACGAATTAATTGTTTTATAAAAATAACCTAAACGGTACACAGTGGTCTACTAGACACTTCAACACTTTGACTCGTAATAATTTGTCCGTTTGACACTCCAACCTGTTCAAAGTCTGAGAGCATATTGAGAATTGCTCAACTTGAATTTGAAGCGACAGATTTTTAAAACAAAAGGTGAGGGTGTGACAGCGCTTTGTTCGTTGATGAGTGTCTCCCAGACACCACAGTACCGGTTATGGGTTAAATATCGTTTGCCAGATTTTGTTGAAAATTATACGTTTTGTAAATTTTCTCCAAATCAAAAGAGGTATTTTTTGTTTAACTGGAAAAATATGCGTTTTCTCAATTTCCATGCAATATGGTTTTTATTTTTCCGAGGTACCTACGAAACATACGAAAACAACAAGAGACAAAAAAATTGTATTTTTAGTGGCTTAATCATAAAAAATATAATAATTGCAAAAAAGTCAGTGGTGTACTTTCCAGGACGCCACTAATCTAGTTAAAGCCAAATTAGCTCCTTATCGCTATAAATAACGTTGCCAAATTTTAATAAAATCGTGCAAATGATATTTAACCCTTAATTGCATATGATTTTATTTTTGTACAAAATATACATGAAACGTTTTCAAATGGCTAATTCGGAAAAATAATATAAAAATAAAAAAGAAAGACTTATTTTGAAAAAAAAAACAAAATGTAGCAAATTCCTTATCCGTCAGACCTTTTTTGCTAATCATGCTACAAAAAGATATAGGTCCTAACCTTAGTGCATATTGTTGCAAATATGCTACAATCATTATTTCAGAAAAAAAAAACAATATTATTATTTAAATAAAAGTACATAGCTTACTTATATAGTAGAATAATTTTTTATTCAGTAAACAATTAAATACAACTGTCATTCAAACGCAATCTTAGTCAACTATGTTGCAGATATGTTACAACATGCATTCAAGCCAATGTAAGTAATACAGTATGTCTACTATAAGAGTTCCCGGAGCGTTGCAAATTTGCTACGAGATGCATTTATGGGTTAAGATATTAAAAAAGCTGCTTTTTTTAAATGTTAGTATCTTAAAAACTAAGCATTTCCGGACCTACGTTTATATGAACTTTTTTCTTATTTTTTGGACGACGAATCTCCACCCGAGCATTGGTGCATATAATATGCTGTATAATAGTAATCATTATAACCGCCGCCTTACAATGGTAACAATGAACTCATTATTCCCGTTGTAAGCCATCGGTAATTGGGCAATTTAATTAAACATGATGATTTGGACCAATCGGGTTTTTAATTGGGAGAAGGCGACTATGATATTTAAAATTGGTGTTAAGTGATGTTAACCATCTAACAGATGTCAGATTTTATTTATTTATTTTTATTAAATCATTTAATAATCTACTTATTGGACTAGATAAAGTATGTCACACATTTTTATTTGTTTGTGTGACCGCACGATCCAGACCCCCCTCCCACAAGTCAAACTTCGTCACAAATGGTAAACCCTGAACGTGTACATACTCAATGAAAGAATTTTTCTCATTTACTTGCGAAAACGCTTAAAAAATAAATTCATTTACATGTAAAATTCAAGACAACATAATTAGGTAGAAACAAATATCTATTTTATCTAATCATTATAAATTTTAATTTTATTGTTATACGACTAAAAATGAAACATCATTATCATATTTTCAGTAAGTTTTAAACAAAAAAATAAATATTTTTTTTTCAAAGAGAAATAATAAAAAATATCGTTCTTTTTGCACTTCTAAGGAAATATAGTTTTACCAGCTAAATAGAGCCACAACTGCGCTAAATCGGCGTGAATACTTTCAACTAAGACATCCTTCCATTCGCTAACGTAATTGTTATTTTCACTTTCTTCTGTTAGTTTTTGAATTTGTTTTTCAGTGCAAATAAACAAATTTGCAACGGCAGCGAACAAAGCTTGTACCTTAAAGAAAATATATTATTTATACTATTTGTTATTTTATTTTTAAGAGTAGTAAATAAGGAATTGAAATTGTTAAATAAAAACAAAAACCTTTGTACTAATTAATAATTATACAGTAAGTGTATTGGGGGCCGTCCATAAAGTGCATCAAACCTTTTTAGGGGATTTCAGACATTACACGATGTCACAAAGTAACGTTCTTTATGGACGACCCTTTTTTTCTTTAAAATTCAAAGAAAAAAAAATCAAAAATTTGTTTTAATCATTTTTACTCCAGGACGATTAGTTTTAACGAATAATTTCCTGGCTGACTCATCAAACGTTCAATCCGAAAATAAACAATCGCAACCGCACAGTGGGGTGAAAACATAGAAATGACACTACTAATAATATTATACTATAATAGTATAGTATTGTTTATATGGAACGATTCTCGGAATCGAAGCTCCAAGAAGCAACTTTAAATAATCGATGTTTAATAAAAATTAAAAAAAAAGAAAAATAAATTTTACTATATTTTTATTTCGAACACAACTGTAATATTATGTATTACGTTATTGCAAATGCCAATCTTCAAAATTTAAAAATACAAGATTTGAGAATCTTGTTGGACTTAATTGGTTTCTATTTGGATCCAATATATTTCCCGCCTTAGAAAACAAACGTTCTGAAGAGACAGATGTGCCTACTACAAAAACTTTTGCAATACACGAGAAGCTGCTTCACGCACTATTTTTTTGGTGGTTACTCCATATGTTATCATTATTATTGTCGGTTTTGGTTGTACTTAGTAGTAGAGATGCGACTTGAAAAAAAACGGTCCGTTTTTTTTGTTTTTTTTCATTGTTTTTTTTTTCAAATGGTTTTTTTTCACATTTTAGGTTTTTTTTCAAGATTAGTCCCATTTGCCTAATTTTTTATGTTTCCAATCCAGTTCATGGACTAAAATTAGCCACTAAATGACAATTACACCACCGAATTGACCAATAAGGGCCGCGGTTGTTTTGATATGGTCCTAAAAAAAGTAACTACCTATAATATTTTTGATTCAGCGCTTGATTTTTTAAAAACCTACCAAAAGCACTTTTTTCATGATTTTTCAAATTCATGTAGAGTATGGCATTTTTTTTTAAAAACAATAGCAAATTCTTGTAGAACATTTATTCATTGGTGGTTAGGTCAGAACATTCCGTGGACCAGAAAGCCAAAAAAAATTTTTTTATTACGGTATTCGTTAGGATTGAGCGTTGCACATTTTTTATCTAAAAATCTTAAAACTAGAAACTTCAAGCTTCAAATTGCTTTTTTTACGGCTCCAATACGACCATTTTTTAAACAGATACGCAAAAAAATTTTTATCCTTTATTTTTTGTATTAGTGTAGAAGTTTTACATTGCTATTGGTTTCTAATGTGGAAACTACCAAATAATAAGAAATCAGATTTTTTAGTCCTCGGTCAAAATTTTCAATAATGAAAAATGTAATTTATTCTACATTTCACTTTATAATTAATATAAATTTTACTCAAAATTTCATTTTGAAAAAAAAAACAAAAAAAACCGGTTTTTTTTTTCATGTTTTTTTTCACATCTGAAAAAAAAACCGTTTTTTTACATCTCTACTTAGTAGTACATTTTATTTTTTAGAAGAATAGTAAGAATATGATTTATAGCATAAATATTATGGTCACTCCTCTAAATGAAATTTAAAAAAACAAAATTAACTTCATACTTCCAAAAATCGTTGTTTAAAAAAAAATTATCGGCATCCCTAATATGGGTGCAACGTTATCGATAGTCAGCTAGCTGGGAATCCGACCTGGACAGAGACACGGATACAGCCGACCAGAAAGTACTTCAAAACCAGCAATGATAGGTCCTAGAAGAATCAAGTTCCCATTTATTAACCCCAATTGAATGGGGTTATTACTAAATCCCTGGTTGAGGGGGATTTTCAGGTTGTACCTAGTTTTGGGTCAGTTTATGTCCCTCAAAAACCAAAATGTTTTCCCTCCTTGTCCCGTACTCCACTAGCCTAAATCGGGCATATAGCCCGGCCTGGCTACAAAATTCCGGGAGCGGCCTTAACCATCGACACAGTCATCCAGGACCTCCTAGGCGAGATTTACCAACCTGGGTGAAAATTCGGATTCACCAACCACAGGTAATGCTGTGCAGTGGCTTATGAGAACTAAAAGGGGGTGAAATAACCCTGGGAGATCAGTGTAAGGCGTTGCCGATGGGGCCTGCAATACGTTTCTTATACTCATACTCAGATTTTTACCAATCTTTTGGTTTTTGAGAATTAAAGTAGAAAACATTAACAAACTTTTTAGTAAAATCAAAAATATCATTTTCTGAAATCCCACTTTTGGAGAAAACTGTTTTCTCATTTGGTGTCCACACTATGTATAATCAAAATCTAATTAAATCGAATTAATTGCGATTCGATTTCGATTTGTCATAGTGTGGAAGGGTTTAAGAACACAGAAATTAAAAAAAATATATTTGTAATTATTTTAAGGTGTTAGAACTTTTTACAAATTCCCAAAATGCATTATGTAAATATTTAACTATTTTCTACAAAAGACGAGTAGTATTAGATAAAATAAGGTATAGTAAATACCAGAAAAATAATAAATAGGTATTATTTTATTATTTATTTTAAATATTGTACTATACATTTTGTTATTATTGTAGAAATAAATGGAATTACTAATTAAAAATATTTGCCATTTTATAACCTGTACTTTCAGAATGTTTTAAGTAGCATATTTACTGTTATATCAATATAAAAGTTTATTACCTGAATTTTGTTATAATGAGATCTGGCTTTCAAAATATTTGACGCCCAAGATACCAAAGACAAAACTCCAAAGTCCCAGTGTCTCCTATTAAGTAAGTTAATTTTCTGTGAGATCAAACCTGAGCACAACCTTATAATTTCCAAAATTTCTTGTGTTTTAACCCAGCTAATGTTATGCCTAAAACAACCCAAATAAAAAAAATCTACCTTAGATTAAACAGTGTGAAGAAGAGCATATTTTGCTATTCCTCCACACTTTTAACCTGGTAGGTTAAAGTTACTTACGATTCGTACAAGAACTGTGGCACATTTTCGCTCCTAATAGCCTCAACTTTTCCGAAAACTTCGGCAATCTGCACATCGATTTCATTGCAATGCAATAGACTTTTAAGCACGACAATAAATTCCACTGAATCGTGTTTATTCCCTATGAAATCAAAGTCTATGTGTTCTCCGAATATTTGCGTGAGTTGAAGCCGACACAAACTTTCGCCTTTGGGTATTTCGGAAACTAATTCGGTGTATATGTTGCCCAAAGGTCCAGGGGTTATTTCTTTGTAAAACAAGTAAATCGTTTTGCACCATAACCAGCTGTTTTCTAGGGTGGATTGTTTCAAGAATAATTTTAGGTTTTGTTTAATTTGAGGGGATAGCTTTTCCACAGTTTGTTTGAATTGGGTTAGAGTCAATTTGTAGTAGTCTTTAATTTCAGAGTACCATGATAGCTAGAAAATAAATTTTATATGTTATTAAACTATGCAACAAAATTTTGATAAATGTTTAGAGAATGGCGTATAATTCCACACAAAGTCAAATTCAATCAAACCAACTGCATTGGCAGTAAAAACCATAAAGAAGAAATATAAAAAATGCTAATAAATATAATAATAAAATTTAAAAACCTTCTTTTTGCAAAACAAAAACTTTTGTGACGCTATCTCTTAAATCATGCTGCTTGTTTTAGCATATTTACTAAATCTTTTATTTTCTATTTTTTTATTTAAAACTAGATTATTTTTACCGCTTTTTTCATGGAAATTTATTAAAATTGGTTGTATTGCATCGTTCTATGAAAAAAAACGGTAAAAATATTATTTTATCTAAGGGGACATCCATTAATTACGTGAGATAAAAATAGGGGGGAGGGGTCTAGCAAAACCTCACCAAATCTCATGTTAAGGATCATTAAAAATCTCACGTCAACTTATGGGTTTAAAGAATATGTATTATAATTTAAATTTGTCAAAAAAAAGTAATCAATTTTTATTTTTTGGGTTTATCATGTTGTCCGCAAAGAAAGTTTAATGGCTAGAATCTTACTTAAGGGATAGGGGGGTCTACCACATCTCACCAAATCTCACCAAGGGGGAGGGAGGGGTCCAAATTATCAGAAAAATGCCTCACGTAATACATGGATGTCCCCTTATGTTATGTTATTTTATGTGCTTTGATTCAAAGCCTTTGACTAAATGATTTGATTCGATTTGATAACACACAAATATGTTTATTGAAAGCATGCATATTCCAAACATTTTTAAAACCGATTAACAAAATGGGTTAAATTGACTTATTTAATCCACAATGTGTCATATTGATTTGTAAACATATGTATATAGTAGGGTGATTCAAAAAATCTACTTTTTTTTAACTATTATATCGAAAAATTGGTCAAAAGAAGCATATCTATGTATTGCCCTTATTATTAAGATCCTCCTTATTGCAATTTTTTATTTTCACTTTGGTCTGATGAAAAACATTTTGTTTCTACAAACATATTTTAATAGGGAATTAAATGCTCTATAAAAAGGTATTATCCATTCAAAATATATATGTTTTGAATGGATGGGTTTACGAAAAAACCTAGGATTTATTTAAAAAGTTGTTTTAATTTTTTTTTTAATTTTGTAACTTGCAGAATATTAAATATTTTGAAATGCACACATTTCATAGTACATATTTTTGTTGAAAATTAACTGATCTACAAAAAATTTTCTTCTGTTTTTTCGATAAATGTAAGAGTTTCAAAGATAATCGCGCTCGCTAAATGTTTTGTTTAATACATAAATAAATTTATAAAGCATATCCCGTATGGTCTACTGGTTAGAATACCTAGCTCTTAATACAAGGTTTTTCTTTAAAACATGTTGTAATATAATTATTGGATAACTAAATACTTTTTTAAAAATGAATATTTTAAAATATCAATTAATCAGTTAATTTCCACCAAAAATATGTACTACCTAGGTACTTATTTTTTTCTGTGAGTTCTAAAATTTAGAAAAAAAATATTTTTTTTTTAAACTAGAACCAAGATATCTTTTAAACGGAGATACCTTTTTTGTACAGAATTTAATTTCCTATTAAAATGTTTATTGGGCCTAATTTAAAAATGGAAAATCGTGCAACCAGTTTTTAGATATTAAAAGTAAAAAAAAGAAGAGGAGATTTTTTGAATCACCCTAATGTACGGTCCATCAGAACGGTTAAATTATAAAAAAATATTAAAATGACATTTAAAAATTTTAAAAAAATAATTTGAAAAAAACTGAAAACCTGACAAAACCAAACATCGTCATAAGCTCTAATAATAATTAATTCTAATAATAATTTCTGGGAAATTAAAAATGTAAGTTTCACATGTAAACATACACATTTATATCCAATTTGTGATTTTTTTCGCACACTAGAATTTGAGTTACCACCACAATCTTTTGTTTTTCTTATGGCCGCCATATTTTATATGGTTAAATAGTAAAAAAATCGAGGAATCCAAGAATATATCAAACTACATAAGTACTGGCGGCCATTATAAACATAAAAGATGGTATCTTTTTTTCTTCTGAAAAAAAGATGATTTTATAAAACGATTTTTTTCAAATATGAACAAAACGTTTTTTTTACATTACACATCAACTATTTTTTTAGATATTTTGTATAAAGAACGTATAAAGTTAAATGATACTTACGTTTTTGTAATGATCTAAGAATAAAATAGCCAGCGATAGATCATAGAGAATATCCCCAACATACTTTTCAGGCATTTCCAACAAGGATAAAATAAAATCACTATCCAATTCAGGTTGAATTTCACAATCACTATCTTCTTCTATACATTCTTTAGAAACATTCTTGAAAATAATACTGCTTTTAAAGTATGTCCACACAAAATATTTGTAAACATCCAAAACATTTATTTCGACATCACAGGTGACTTCTTCATATGGACTACACAGAGCACCAGTAATGTATTCAGCCTTTTTGCATAACTGCGTTATGTTGTCTTTTTGTTGTGGTACAAATGGTCTTTCAATAAATAAATTTAAAACGTCGTTTATATATGGAACATTTCTTTGACAGGCTTTAAGATAATTTGCCACAATGGTGGTTAAATGTTTTATAACTGCTTGACTCAAGTCGCTTTTAAACAAATAATTTTCAACCACATCTGTGAATTTTGATGTTAGTTGTAGAAACTCGGACTTCTCTAAACCAGAACCTAACAGACTTACGGCATCTTCCCAAGCGGAGTTTAGTTCGTACATTGTTTCAGAGGAAACTATTTCTGGATCACAGTTATGTTTGCAAGCCAATTTGAATAAAGCTAAAAGGAGTTTATCGCCATACATAAGCAACAAATTATCTGTGTAAACAATGGCGGATATATACGAAGCCAGACTGGAGCAAGTATCAAACGTTATTATGTAATTATTTTCATGTTCCAACACGTTTATAAGCTTGTCGATTATCTTTTTGACAGCCTCTTGTTTAATAAATAAGTCTAAAAACATAACAATGTATCAATAAAGAAATTTTAAATGTTTGCGATCCTAGCGACTGCGCCAGTTTTGACTAATTATTTACCTCCGTTTTCATTTTCAGTAAGTGACAACTTTAACAAGACGCCCAATTCAGGTGTACATTTGTCCTCAATTTCTTTATCAGCAATGGAAACAATAAAACTACTAACATTATCATTGTGCAACCATTTTTGCACTATGGGATTTTTATTCGTGGGGTGTGATAGAGCTTGAGATATGCACCATCCTAAACATTCTTTAGAAATTGACTAAAACATATAAAATGGTAACACTATAAAACATTAAACATAAAACAGTATACTATTTTGACGTATTTTTGTCCAAATATGGCTGACAACAAAAATATCAGTAAATACAGGTAAATACATTTTATTTTGTTTATCTTTAAGCGTCAACACTCGAGTGATTGATAATTGCATTGTTAAAAACTTGTTTTAGGCTACCTTACTTTATACTATTAATAATTGTACCTATGTATCATGTATCATTTAACAAATAAAATTGGCTTTAAATTCTGAACTTTACAACTTAAAGATAAAATGTTGTGTGCCATTCGGCCCAAAAGGTCTTTTTATGCTTTGCTCAATTAGAACAATAACAAACGTTTTTTATTTATTTTAAGAAGTTTGATTTTTAGTTTTGTTTTAAGGAATCGTTCTATTCTGTCAATTAGAACAATAAAAACGTTCTTTATTTATTTTAAGAAATTCGATTTTTAGTTTTGGGAATTGATTTATTTATTTTAATTTGTTTTCAAGACAATTATTTTATTTTAGTTTTTAAAGAGAATTTTTTGTTTAAACTTTTTTTTTTAAAGAACACACTTTTTGTTAAATGCAAAACAAATATTGATTTTACACATTTAATTAATAATTTACTGTTAGAATTACGTTACATTTTAAGAATCTAACTTAATAATTCAAACTATCACCCAACGCCGGTGAATGGTCTACTGTTGAATTACGAAAACCGTCTCTCGGGGTCTCCCACTCTTAAAAATTATTCTCCCACTCTTAAAAACAGTCTACATGTAAAATGAAAATACGGAATATAGATATATTTCTTCCGATATATATATAAATATCAATATATGACGTTCGATACGATATACGATATTCGTTCTCTACAAAATTATAAAATTGTACATTTTGAGAAAGTACATTTTAATAACTATTTTTTAAATATTTTATTTAATAAGAAAATAACTTACTTTAGAAAGCGTATCCATGATCAACTCTTGCTCAGATTTCTCTACAAACTTGAACAGCAAAAATATCAAATCAACAACATGTTGTGAACACAAATCATTTGAAGTTAACCATTTGTGAAGTATTTTATTAAAAATATCAATTAAAACGAAATCTTTATTCTTAACCTTCATCTTCTCAGACAAATTGTAAAAGAAGTTCTGAGTATCAAAGTCTAAAACCAATGAGTAAAAGTTTTTCAATAGATCTTTGGATCTGTGCTCTTCAATGTATTTAACTTGCTCTTCTGCAATATTAAAAACGAGGGCGTTTAATTTCTTTACATATAAGTTAGGAGTTTGAACTGTTGAATCACAGGTTTCTTCAGTGGGTTTTCCTGAGTCAATTTTATCGGTAAATTGTACTTTAGTTACTTTCTTCGGTTTGCTAATGTGCCTAAGACACTGTAAAAATTCAATTTGTCTTGATGTAACATCGGCAACATTTAAAGATTGTAAACCTTTAACGTTAAATAAAGTATCTCTGAATAAGACAAATACATTCTCAAAAAAGAAATCCAAATAGGCGGCATAATTATTAAAATCCTTGGTGTTTTGGTTCCTGCTCCAATACTGAGCCAAGGATGCCACTAGGTTAAAAATTATTTTATAACAAGCTTGATTTTCTGTTAGGCACCATTCCAAGGTTGATATAATGTGTTGGCCAATTAGGTTTTTGCATAATAAGACGTCTGATTGATTTTTTAAAATGACATATTGCAAACATTCTATTAATGCTGTGGCTACAGCTACAGATTCTGATCTACTTGCTATAACATGCTTTTGATTAAATCTGAAAAAAAGAAAATAAACTATCAGAGTGATTATATGAAATAGAAAATTAGGACAAACTGAGTAAAAATGGCCTTATAAACTATGTAACTTGTATTGTTTATTCACTGTTTTTGTAGTAACATAAACAAGCATAAAAAATGACATTCATTGACAAAAATAGTATTCAACTACTTTTAGCTTAGACTCAGTCCAAAGTCCTTTTTGGCAATAGAACTTATTTAACTAAAATGTGAGCTCGTGGACATTTGTTCTTATGAACTTAAATTGGTTTATTAGACATTTTTTACTTGTACTATAATGAGATCCATTATGATACAAATTTTTTGTTCCGCTACAGATTTTTAACCAATATAAATGCTATACATGGCAATATTCTCTATTGCCTTGGACATCTAATAGATAAACAGATCTAATATTTCTTAATTTTGACAAGTTACTGATTAAAAAGTTTGAATTTAGTGTATGCTTCTCTCATTTAATAGACTATTAAGATACTCACTCAATATGACATCGCCTCTGGCTCATATCATAATTGTTATGCTCATGTCTTAGTAGCCATTATTAAATGAGGAGCATCCGTGCAAAACCGGCTATATCCAATAATAAAATGTTGGGAAAATGGCAAAAACTCTCGGTTTCCTGGCCTTTACAGATAAAAGAAAAAGCAAACTTAAGTTTTGTGGGATTTATAAGACATACTTTCGTTTTCAAAAACTTTATAATATAAAGTTTTTGAAAACGAAAGTATGTCTTATAAATCCCACAAAACTTAAGTTTATAAAGTTTATATTAAGGCCAAAATTTCAAAAAATGTTTTGTATACAGCCGGTGAAAAAACCTTTATTATTTAAAAATATTAAAAAATAAATTTAGTGCAAACATGAAAAAACATAACAAATTTTAGTAGTAGTATCGACATATCCAAGCCACATATTATTATTTATTGGATATAGCCGGGTTTGCTATAAAAACGTGGATTTGGCCGGTTTTGCTCCTAAAGCTACCTTTTAAATGTGGATATAGTCGGATTTAAACAGAATTATCTTGGTTGTCGATAGAAATGAACCCAAAGATGCGAAATAAAAAAAAATACAAAAACTGAATAAAATGGATTTAGCCGGTTTTGCACGAATGCTCCTCAAATGGTCATTGCTTAAAATTGTGTGTTTTTTGTATTTAAGTACATGTTTTTAAGAACTTGCAATTTTATTTAAGTAGAGCTTTGATCTTAAGCAACAACTTAAAAAAAGCAAAAATAAAATTAAAACCACATTAAATTTAGAAAAAAGACATACATTTTTTTGCATAGGTATAAAAAATATATTGTAGTCCTTCTGTTTCACCGTTTATTTATAACATTGAAGAAATAATTGTTAAATAAAAAAAATCTCCAAAAATATGATTTTGTTATTTAAAAATCGTAAAACTTGTAAAAGTACAAATAAATTTAAACTTACCCTAATCTTATATTTTCAAAAAAGTTTGAGTAAAACGTTCCAGCATCAATATTTGGAGGCAAATGTGATAAAAGGGGTAAAAGATTTGGATAAATAACATTTGCTGTACCCTGTGCACCCTGCTTTAAAATTTTTGTCAACTTTGGTAAAAACAATTTATCAATATTTATAAATGTCCACCACTCCTAAAATTTTAAATGAGTAAATATGCATGATACAAAAATGTAAAAAACTAGTCATAAAAAGTAACAACTAATGTCCCAATAATTTTTATGCTATATACTTAGTTTTTTTCAAAGTAAAATTATGATTTTGGGCCAAAATTTTTGGCACATTGGAAGTATTTGCAGCCTTTCAATGAAGTATTACCTTAAAAGAAGACATAACTAAAAGGGCACACTCCCATACATAAGGTAAAACAGTAGGGTCAGTTTCATCCAAATTACTAAAAACAGTATTAGTAATATTTGACCCTTTCTCCTCTATTAGAAAAATAGCATGCTGACAAATAGCTGCCAATACTTCAAACCAGGCGGCTCTAATAGCCCCTATCTTATGTTTGGCTAGCTTCCAAAATTTTGGATTGGAAACAATGGAACTGTTTAGTTCTAACGTTGTTTTTATTTGTTCTGGAGATACTTTGGTTAAATACAAATAATATCCTTGCAAGCTGGAAATAAGAACTCTTTCTAACTTGGCCTCTGCCTCTTCAGGGGACATTGATTTTGATGATATATAGGATTGGGCTGATTGTTCTGTTAAGTTTTCTTTGATGTATGACAAAATTTCTTCTTGGCAAAATACCACAGCTTCTTGAAATTTGTTTGAAGGGAATGTGTCCTAGAAAAATTTGAGATATAGACTCTTCCTGCAAAGATCCTGCAGGGATGGTTTTGAAAAATATTTCGCTATCTATTATTTAGGAACACCTTGACTAAATGTTGTGTAATATAAAACTGATTGATTTTAAGAAATATGTCCTTGTTCCAAAACTCTTAGTTTTTGTAATACAGTGGTTTTTTACTTTTAAATGTTCAGTTTTGGCATTATACTTTTGAGTTACTTCCCCTATAGCGTCACCAAAATTGTTACTTTTTCTACTTTTTAAAAAAGTTTCTTAGCATTGTATAGTATACAATATTGTATAGTATACAATTTATACATATACTCTATTTTTTAAAGCAGCAAACGCATAAATTATGGGGGAAAAACTCAGATAAAAAAAAATTAAGAACTGAATGTGTTAGAGCAGCCTACTATCAACAGGTGATGAAATATTATTTTTCAACTTAACACCTGAGTAGAAATTTGCCAAGATTTTTTAAGTTGTCATGAAAATTAAAAATAAATAATAATTAATAATCTACTTAGTAGTAGAAAGTTATCACAATTTTGTTTTGTTTTAAAACTTAATTCGTTTATTCACAATGTATGATTAAAAAATCTGTGCATTTGATTTAAAAATTAATTTCTTGTAAACTATTTATAAAAAATTAATGAAAAATTGTAAGAATGTAAAAATATAAATGCAATTAAAAATAAAGTTTTTAAAAACCTGCTATTATTTTGTTAAACAAATGGCTACTTTTTTTTTCTTTTTTAATAAAAAATTGCTAATTTGGCCCTGTTGTTCTCCCTACAAAAATTAAAAAAAAAAATTTTAAATGTCTTAAAACATTCTTAATTTAAACTTTTTTCTTACTTTTTTCCGTTATCACATTTTTAACCAAAACTGTGTATTTTTACACTCATGTGACTTGAAACCCAATACTTTTTTGCCTTATTAATTTTGCTTATCAAAATTGCTTTACCAAAAAATCGAAAAGCGACACTGTTATAAGATATTTTAATACCTATTACCTACACTGATTTTTATCATCTATAGGTTTGTAATAATACAAGGTATTTTTTTATTGTTATCAAATTGTGCCCCAATCATCTCTCTTGAATTTTATGTTTTTGCATCAATTATTGATAAAAAACTTTTGAAGGTTTTAAAAAATAGATAAATAAATTATAACCTTTTTCATTCAACTTTGTTGATACATAATTGACATAATTTGTAATTTGAGCTTTAAATAAAATAATTATATTTTATTTTAGGAATTATTTTACTAGCTTAAATTTTTACTACCAGAAATATATGTAACTCAAGCATTTGGTAAAAAATACTATGGTTGCTCTAAATTTGTCCAATACTGTATAGTCCCACAAACAAATGACGGGTGCTCGGTTCATTTATTTAATTCAAGAGTAATTGAAAAAAAAATTGGGGATAAAAATATAAAAAAATTGTTTTTTGGATGGGGCTGCATCGCAGAATAAAAATAAATTTAATTTTTCAAATCTTTTTAAACAAGATTTTGGTATTACCTACTGTTCAGTGGAATTTTTTTTCAACCTCTTACCAAAAAGTAGCTTGTGAGTCACAAGTTGTGATGGTATCAGAGGCTGTGAAAAAGCGACAACAATAAAAATCCCCAGACAATATCATTGGTATGAACCTATAGATGATAAAAATATATCTCAATTGACACAGTTTTTATTAATTGTTTCAACCTTTACTTGATGAAACTCCATATTAACTATGTGGATATAAAAACAACTTTGTTGTAAAGTTTCACGAAATTTATTAAATTTTGACAATTGTTTCGCTACACAGTAGCTTCTCCAGAATGTATTAAACTATATTAGTTTAATACATTCTGAAGAAGCTACTGTGTAGTGAAACAATTGTCAAAATTTAATAAATTTCGTGAAACTTTACAACAAAGTTGTTTTTATATCCACATAGACACAGTTTTTGTATATAATTTTAGATAAGTTTCCATCTTTAGGTTTATCTTTATTCTGACGTGTTCATCATTTTTCATTTTGCAATTTTTTAAAGTAATTATATCTATTTCAATATTTTTTTTATTTTCTTGTAAAAATTAAACATTGGCAATTGTTATTTTAAACTTTTATGTTAGTTACTATATTTGAGTAAATATGGCGTATCTTGATAGAACGCAAAGATGCAAAGATAAACAATATTAAAAAAAAATAGCAAAACAAAATAATAAAAATCAAAAAAAACAATAATAGCAGGTTTTTGAAAATTGTATTATTAATTACGCAACAAGAAAATTCTAGGAAACATGCAAGAATTAAAAGAAAACAAAAGCTTAACTACAGCTAATATCTAAGATTTATATATATTTTTTTTAATCTTTTTTTAACCTTTAACTGACATACTTCTTATTAATTTTTTTTTTCTACAAAAACTGTACCTACTTAGTATTAACATATAAATGTGAAACTAATCTACAAACTTGTATGAAACATGTAACAGGCAGAAGGACTTCGGTCAAGAGCCTTTTGGTGGAGCCAATGAATAAACGTTTATTATTATTATTATTATTAATTGCATTTATTTTTTACCAGTCTAACAAATTTTTTATAAATAGCTTACAAGAAAATAATTTTTAAATCAAATGCTAAAATTTGTTTAATCAAACATTTTAAATAAACGAATGAAGTTTTTTCAAAAAGTTGTATGTAGTAACTTTCTACTACTTAGTAGATTATGATTAAATGTTTATTTTTAATTTTCATATCAACGTCGAAAATCACTTGTGTTGATATTTTGTTGGGTCCCCCATATATGATTTGTAAAATCAGCTTTTGGGGCATAATCGAGGGGGAAACCACCTTTAAAAAATATGTACACGACGTGTACTACACGTATTGCGGAAATCCCATGATTTCGGAATGATTGCGGTGATTTCGGAGGATTGCGACCGAAATCCCATGATTTCGGTAATTTCGGAAAGTTCTTATTAAATTGTTGCAATTTCGGAGGATTACGACCTGAAATTAGTAATTTCAGGACTGCAATTGTGAGGATTGAGAGACGATTTTCGTTGAATTGGGTTGAATTGTAGATATGATGGCTAGCTTGATTGCGATAGAGAAACGAGAAAAGAAGAAAAGTCCTTCTTTTGTCTCGTCTCGTACAGGGAGAGAAAATGGGTCCTCGTCTCGACGAGAATACTCTTCTCTCGAGAGTGCCTCATCTCGTTTCTCTCGTGGTAAAAGTAGCTATAAAATTAAAACACAAAAAATATTTGGGATAAAATAGGTACGAAACTTGTGTTTGCCAAAATTACTTGGGTAAAGTAAAACTTTTTCGGCCGAAAGTGCACGTTACTACTGCGCGTAGATGCAACCATCTGAAAACTACTGCGCATAGGTACGGTCATCTAGTATCTACTGTGCATAGGTACGATCATCCAGTAACCACTGCGCATAGATCCAACCATCTGGTACCTACTGCGCATAGATATCTGCCATTTTGAATCCGCAATTGCCAATTGATATAAAATTGATAATCAGCTACCCCAAAAATATCTTTTTACGAAATTTTATCCAAATCGTTAAAGCTGAACGACAAATGACCGACATATTGGATCAGCCATTTTGTTTTTAGAAAAATGGATACCAAATTCCTAATGAGTCACCTCAAAAACCACATACATATTGCCCACCTTAGAGTACTCTAAGTTGCCCACAATCCACAAAACCAACCATTGGCTCTTAACTGTATTAGTGTCTGTGCAAATAAGATTGTTTAACCAGTTAATAAATCACATTAATAATTGTATTCATTGATTTTATTAATGTCAATAATTTATAAAAAAAATTAAACACATTTGTCAATAATTGGAAACCCAAACCAAAAAACAAAGTGTCAAAATTAAGGACCCTTTATTCACTAGTTTCTTCAATTAATTCATTTATCAATAACATATTTTTGTCAAATCTTATATTTAAAAACATTTGCGATTACTTTAGCCAACCCGATTGCGGGATTGCAAGTATAGGATTTCCGCGATTGCGGGATTGCAGATAGAGATTTCGGTTATTGCGGGATTGCAGGTAGGGATTTCGGCGATTGCGAAGTGACTGCGGGATTGCAGCGACGATTGCAAGTGATTTCGGACCAAATGTACACGTATTGCGGAAGGTGGTTTCCCCCTCGGGCATAATTTAAGAATGTTACATTTTTTAAATAAAAAATTTCTTAATGCCAATTTAAATTATTTTTAACTTTTAATAGTTATATATTTTATAGTTTATATTATAAGTTTATTAAATAATAATGGGTCCTTTCTAATTTACCATTGTTGAGACATATTATAATATAGTAAAAAGTATGGCTGATATGCATATCACTTCATCCCTATACCTATATAGTTTGTTTTACACAAAGAAAAAAACTATTTTGAAATAAGCTTGCTTGATAGAATTATTACCTTAAAAGCCTGAGTGGCAATAGTTGCTGCTGGTGGATAGGTATCGTATTGAGAAGTAAACCATGGTGCCATTAACTGTTTTAAAAATGGTGCAATATTCCTTTTAGCCTTTAATATTATTTGGTAGTGAGCATTGTGTGTTGCTTCTCTAACTCTATTATCAGTATCTGTAGCCAAAACATTGTAATACCTAGGCCAAACAGGCAACAAAGATTTAATAGTATCAACATCGGAACTCTTAATAAGTTCAGCCAATTCTAGCAAACCCTAAAATAATTTATCATAAAATCATGGTCAATTAAACAACTTTGTCATAAGCACTTTAAGTTTGGTCGTTGAGTCTTTCTTGTTGATTTTCTTTAAAACCAACTGATAATTTGGATCCAATGCAGCATCCAGTTCATCTGTGTTACTCAAAGAAAAGCCTCCAAGTCCAAATCCTGTTTCTTTTATACCGGAAAGGCCCGTGAAATTGGGCATATTCGTACTCAATAACTCTGCTGTCCTGCCACTGCTGGAAGGCTGTAAATATTTAAATTAAACATATTGAAGTTTAAAAAGTGGGGTTATAAATTATTTGAATTACTTACCCTAGCATTGTTCTTGGTACGGTTTGCCACTTTGTGTTTTCCACCCATTTTTAATTGGAGTGCTAAATGTTGCAGCTAAAATAATTCAATTTTATAAAGAAAATAAAATTTTGGCCTATCAAATTGAAACAATGATTAATAATATGGTGAATCAACAGATGGCACTGCCATCATGGCAGTGCGCATGAAAAAAATAAAATGTACAAGGCAGTTAAAAATGTAAAAATAAATAAGCAAAACTTTTTTTATGATAGAAACAATATCTTTTTTTATAAAATATTTCAAAAGTATTTGCTTTGTTTATTAAATTTAAATTTGTCTTTTTTTGACATTGCGAGTAGCGCTATCTACAAAAATAAAAAGAAATAAAGTGACATGGTGTTGTTCCAGTTTTAAATGAGATGATAATTTCAAAATACAGGGGAGTTCACAAATACTTATGTTAATATTATTTAATTTTTTTGGTGAAATAGGTATGACTAATTATTTAATATTTTTTTAGAAAAGCAAAATAATAGTAATAATAATAATAAACAAACGTAAAAAGACCAAGATAATTTTCAAGTTTGACCAGAGGCAAAAATAGGTTGGTTATGTTAAAGCATGCAGGACCTAGATAAAAGAGGACGCAGGCCCCCACAGACTTCGTTCTTTTTCATCCTAATTAGGTCTATGCAAGTAGTCGTCATGATGTTGTATCATATGATGTGACATATGTCACATAGCTATAGCTACATATAGGTACATAATATGTCACATCTGTATGCAAAATGCCACTTTTGCATTCAGAATAAATGAGAATGCAAAAGAATTTCGCACTCGAGTATCAAACAACGGTATGCTACAATTTATGAATAACCTACCTAGTAAAAAGGTGATTTTTTTTAACGGATGTAAAAGTATTTTCTAGTATTTTACTTTTTGATTTGATTGTGGGACAAAATATTATTGGGAGCTCGTGAGAAATGGTTATTAAAGTATTGTTATCTAAAATTGTTCGTGTTCGTATTTAACAGGAATGTTTGAAATCACCCTCGTATACAAGTGCTTGGAACTACGAAGTTGACATTTGATGTCATGTCAAAAAACAACAGTGCGTTGTGAAATGTGCTAATTCCAGATTGTTTAAATTCTTAATATTTTGACAATGATAATTAACTGCTGAAGATTGTGTTCAAAAATAGGAAAACGTTTAGTTTAGTTCAGTGTTATAAACAAAAAGGTGCGAAACATAAAATGGCGTTGGAGATGTTAGGTTATAGTGCAATTCCACAATCCAATTTTTGACTTATGCAATATATGGTAAGCACAAATGTATTTTTCGAAGGTTAACCACGAAATTAACGTTTCTAATAATTATTATTTACATTCGTTATGTTGTTCGCTTGAAAACCGATTTCTTTGTTATGTCTAGGACTTTTGTACCTAAACTTATTAGCATACAGTGTCCAGTCTATGTACTGTAATAAGTTTTAATTAATACAAAGCGTGGTTTTACAGAAAAACCTTATATTATATACAGGGTGTTTGGTAAATAAGTACATTCACTTTAACAGGTAGTAGGTATTATGCATATAATACAGGGTGTCCCAAAAATAGTGTGTTATACTCTACATGTGGTTTCTAAAGTCATAATAGTAAGAGGGCTAAGTGGGCTGCAGCCTCTTAAGGGGCCTGAAACAGTTTGAGATAAAATAATGAAATTTTGTATAATTACTTAACTTTTTATGCTGAATTTAAAAAGAACAACAAAATTTATTAAGAGTTTATATTAAACAGGGTATTTTTTGCCCCAAATTTTTTGTGTGCATTTTTGTTTTGCAGTGTGGTTTCTAAAGTCATAATAGTAAGAGGGCTAAGTGGGCTGCAGCCTCTTAAGGGGCCTGAAACAGTTTGAGATAAAATAATGAAATTTTGTATAATTACTTAACTTTTTATGCTGAATTTAAAAAGAACAACAAAATTTATTAAGAGTTTATATTAAACAGGGTATTTTTTGCCCCAAATTTTTTGTGTGCATTTTTGTTTTGCAGGTTGGCTTCAGAATATAAAAATTTAGAGTTTTCAATGTAAAAAAAGGTTGAACATCCATAAATGCACCATTTTTGAATAAAACAATTTCAACGAAAAAATTGTCCTATTTCTTTTTCACATTAATATATTTAACAAGAAATATGAATAAAAAAATACATATATTTCCCGAAAACATATTATTTTATCTCAACCCGTTTCATAAATAAAAATAATAATAAAAACAACTTCAGGGCCGCCCATTTAGGGGCTCTGTAGGACCCTCAGGGGCCATTTACCGACCTATATTCATATAAAGTTTTCTTACTATTTTTGGCCCTAAAACCCGCTTCTTGGTTGAAGGAAAAAAAAATAAATAAAAAAATACGGTTTTAGATCATTGTTTTATAACTTAAATAGGTATATATACCTTTTTATTGTTCAATAAAACAGCTTTCAAAAACTCTTCATTTTGTAAGACAAATGGATAAAAATCTTTATCTACTCCTATTGCATAATTTTGGGTTTTTTCCTTGAATATTTATAAACATTATAAATTCCCTGCCTAACAACGTGTATAATAAACTCATTATTCACGTTGTTAGGCATCAGTATTGGCCGATTTCAATATTCACTGTAATTTGAACCAATCGGGTTTTAAATTGGAAAAAGGCGACTATAATTACATTTAAAATTGGTAAAAACTAAGGTTAACCATTTGACAGATGTCAAATTTTATTTATTTAATTTTTAAAATCATTTAATTATCTACTTATTGGAAATGTTAATGGCAAGTGGCATATTTTTAAGTAAAATGTTTGAAAGAAAAGTTACCATTCAGGGTTGTTGACTGACTGAGAAGATAAAAAAAATTAAAACTCTAATAAACTGAAATTTTAGGTAATACCTTAACTTCTTTTTATCACTAGTAAAAAGCAATTTTCAAATTTCAATTATCATTTAATAAACAATCGTAAACAATAAAATTATAAAAACTATGTTTAGTTTTTCTGACACGTTTAAGTTGGGGTATATGTTTAACACTCTGTGGTGTTATTTTTAACTATATCGGCTAAACCACAGAACAAAGCGATGCCTTTCACCGCAGGGCAGCCCACGATGTGCCACATTTATGATCTGTGAGGATATGTTAAGAAATAGTCAGCTTTTTCTGTTTATATTGCAAAGTAGTGCATATAAAATTATTGCAATTTAATTAGATTTTTTATAATCGATTATGGGATATAAATGAGCAGACGTTGTAAAACGAAATCCGGGTCAGGCCAAGGGCTACCTTAATTCATTATATCGACATCCAATTCAGGCAGACATGCTTTTCTACAAGGACACTTATTATTTTTTACTATTATTATTCAAATTCATGTTTGTATAGCGCCACCACATATTATGCATTATAAAAGAAAATATTAATAGCTTTTTTGTATGTATAGGCTTTGGCAATGTCAAAAAATATCTCACATTTTTTATGTAGGTATGTTAATTATTTTGAAGGATGACTGTTACAAATAATATATTATTACCTATAGTATTATACTTGTAACATAACTGATAGGTATATATTATAATATGGTAGGTATAGTATTTTTGCAAAAAATGACATTTAATAAAGGTCTTTTTTTATTTGAATATTGAAAACGTTAACGCTTTTTAGTTGGCTAAAACAAAACTAACTAAACCTTGGACCATTGACCTATGGATTAAAAATGGTTGGTTACATTAAATAGAGCACTAAAAACTAGTAAGAAATCTCTAATTTTGTTTATGTCATAGGTAGTTATTTTACATGTATGTATAGGTACATATTTTAGTATGCAAAAATAGGTAAAATAAGTATTTTTTTCATAAAATAAGTAATTTTTTAAATTAATTTATCCAAAAATTACCCTTAAAATTACCATACTACTACAATGAGTAAAGATACTACTTATTTGACAATGAATATTATGGTTTATAAACGCCATTTAAGTTACAAGTTAAATTAGGCACAAGGGTAGCTTGCGAGTTTATAATACTCAAGCGAGGGGGAAACCACCTTCCGCAATACGTGTACATTTGGCCCGAAATCACTCGCAATCGCCGAAATCCTTACCCGCAATCCCGCAGTTACTTCGCAATCGCCGAAATCCCTACCCGCAATCCCGCAATCGCCGAAATCCCTATTTGCAATCCCGCAATCGCGGAAATCCTATACTTGCAATCCCGCAATCGATCGAATTCGACGATGATGGGGGTATAAATCGGCAACGCCTGCGCTCTGCAGCCATTTGCATAAGATTGGCGGAAGGTATACGTTGGTACCTACCTTAAAAACCTTAAAAAACAATTGTTTATAGTGTTTGTGAATTTTGCGATTTAGGCTGAATCATTCAGCACATGTGGTAAGACTGGTTAGTACATATCAAAGTTAGATACTAATCTATTACGCGTATTTCGCCCCGTTAGGGATTCCATCGAAACGAGAATCTCTCTCGATTTTTCCGGTACTTAAAATCAAACAGATATTTATTTAATATAGATATACCGCAAGCTATACATAGGGAAAATACATTGTAGGTGGACCAGACAAGTTGAAGTCAGCGCAAAGCGAAAAAGTTCTCAGAAATTATTTGGACGTAATAAAATTTTAATCGCCAGTAAACAAGGTCACCTGTTACGTCGCATGTTAGTCTACTAATCCACTCGTCAAAATAATTTCTGGGAACATTTTCGTTTCGCGCTGACCGCGCCGACTTCGACTTGTCTGTTCCACCTACAATGTATTTTCCTTATGTATAACTTGCAAATGAAGGTACGGTAGAATTCCATATCACCACGCATGTACGTACTGTGCACCTTTGATTTATTTGCCGCCGTTAATATAAATTTCCTGAAATAGTAATTCTGTATAACACATTAAAAATACCTACTTGTTTTAAATTTTAAAGTAATCGCAAATGTTTTTAAATATAAGATTTGAGAAAAATATGTTATTGATGAATAAATTAATTGAAGACACTAGTGAATAAAGCGTCTAAGTGAAAAAATTTTGACACTTTGTTTTTTGGTTTGGTTTTTCAATTATTGA